ACACTTAGTGTGTGGCCCCAGCTGCTCAGAGACCACCCTGCATGCTAGCAGAAAGGAGACGCAAGCTAACACTCTAGTGGTCCTCAGGGGCTGCCTCGTTGTGTGAATGTAAAGGGTACCACTCTCAGTTGGGTTTAATATAGTTGGAGCTGGGAGTGGCAGCACAATGCCTGTTCTCCATGGGATTTCCAGCAGTGCCTTTGATCACTCTGCATACATGCACTGTATCCCTCCCTCTCCTTTGTGACTGATGCTCATATATCATTCCTCTAAATTATTCATGCTGTTTAGTTAGCCCTAAGATAATGTTTACTGTCATTTTTTTTCTTAGTGTAGCACAAGCACAAAGGTGTGCCTTGGTCATGTTAGCTTGGCATAGGATTTTTAATGATCTGCTTGTGACAATGTGCATGTTGTGCAGTAGGCAGCTGTGAATCCCTGCTTTCTCTTGTGTCTTCCAGGTGACTGACCATGACAAGGAACTACATCGAGTGACTACTGACATCATCAAAGCAGACTGCCAAAAACCCAGGCGTGAGTATTCAGATGGTCAGGTCTCTAACCAAGCACTGGTGCCTCACAGGCAACTCTATCTCCGCCTGCCTCTGGATTACAGCTTTCATTTCCTTTTTACTTCCAAGTTTATGCCTATCTCTTTTTCATGCTTTGTTCTGTAGCTAGACACCTGGGTGCAGAGCAGGCCCAGAGCTGAGACTGGTAGGCATGTTAGGTAGGCAGTATGAGTCTTCAATTTTAAGTGAACAGCCATTGAAAAAAACGAGTCTTGGGCCTGGCTCCAGTGGAGGATTTACATTTTGGAAGGAACAGAATCTAACAGGGTTAGGTCAGCTGCTAGCGGGTGGTCACTAAATAAATAGCAAACCTTGCCAGCTGGGTCTGAGGAAGGAAAACAGCACAATAGTGGCAGAATGGAGTGAGATGTCTTCTTGAAAGATTGATCATAGAAATGCTGTGAGCAAAAGTGACTCTTGTGCCTTAGTCATAGACACAAATTAAGTCCCACCTATGCCTATAAAGTGAAGACCTTGTCTCCACTGAAGTCAGTGGCTAAATTCCAAGGGATGTATAGCTGAGCCATCCTCTATATCAGTGGTTCTCAACCTTTTTAGACGCAAGGCACTCCTCAATAGACTTGAGACCCCTCGGAAAATGCCAGCTCTTCATTTTCACTTATTTTTTTTTACTATAAAAATATATTAGAGCAGTTTTTTTGTTGCAAAGAACTTGGGCCACAGCAGGGCACTATATGGATTCCTACTTGGAATCTGTGGGTTTATCATGTGAATCATGTTTGGACCCCTATCAGCACTAATATTGCATGGCACCCTGCAACACCCTTGCAGGGATCTCCCTGCAGCCCAGGCTGCTGTGGCACCCTGGTTGAGGGTCACTACTCTGTAAGGGCTTTATGTAGCCCTGAGGAAAAAACTGAAGTGTAAGCTAACTAAATCTACTTCTTAGCAATTGTCATGTGTGGTTCTAAAATAATGAGCTGCATCTGTCTTGGTCACAGCAGTGGCTTGGATTTGACTTTCAGCATCTCACCTTATAGTGAAAGTACATTGCTGTAGCCTTTGCCAGCATGTGACAGTGGGATCACTTGTTCACTCATTAGTGAAATGCAGCTACTTCTGGGGCAGAGTACACAGGAGGGCTGAAATGCTTGCATTTTCCTTGGAAGTCAGTCATCTCTATATTCATAGATTCATAGATGTTAGGGTCGGAAGGGACCTCAATAGATCATCGAGTCCGACCCCCATATGATAATACATATTATCATATGCATTTGTTAGCTTCAGCCAAACGGTTTATATAGACCAGGCTTCAGCTTAGTGTCAGAGCTGATGAGTTTACAGCTGGAAAATGCTTGGTGGCTGGGTTTAAGAAAGACGGTGGATTTGTTTTCTTGAGTTATGTGGAATAAACTGTTGTATTATAGGCTAACTTTTTTGATACAAAAGCTTCACACACTGTTTTTATTGTAAAGGGCACCCCCGATTTTCAGATCCCGCTTCCATCACTGATGGTTTTTGCTGGGATTGTTTGGATAATACAGTCACTGACAGTAACAAAAAAAAAAAGTCATGTAATAAATCAGAAGGGCTGGCATTCTATTGGAAATTGGATCAGAAATAGCCACAGAAAGTAGCTATGTACTAAAATAACTTGGGGTTCAGTGTTTGACATGATGTACCTTTAGGGTACCTGATACCGGCTCTCGGGTGCCCTCTAGGGGCAAAGTGGTTAACCAGACAAACATCTTTGGATTCTGCTGGGAGTAGATTTTGAGTGAGGTGACTTGAAGTCTCTAATTATTAGAGTTTAATGCCTCAGAAGAAAGATCATATTTTGTGAGTTCGAGAACTATAAACATTGGGAACTTTCCTCTATCCAGTCAGGTAAGGTTACCTTTCTGCAAACTTGAAAGGCAAATTGTCTTGGTTGGTTAGTTTGTAAGTGATGAATGATAAATCATAAACCATTTGCCTGAAGCTAACAAATGCATATGATAATATGCAAATTCTAGAACATGATTAACTGAGGTGCTGTGAGACTTGCTGGAATATAGTCTTGGTCCACATAATTAATTCTAATCCCATATGATTCAGTCTGCAACAAAGACTCTTTGAGAGGCCAGCTTGGCATGGACTTAAACACAGTGAGAGAGTTGTCAGAGCTTGTTTGGGGAAGGAGTTACAAAATGGAGGTCTGGCCAAGAGAAACTGGTTGATCCCCTAGTCTTCTCTACTGTACCTGTATGCTCAATTGAAGACCAAGGTTGTGTTTTATCAGCCAGGTAGTCAGCATCTACATTAGGGGTGGGTAAAATATGGCCTGCATGCTGGATCTGGCTGCCGGCCAAGGGATTTTATCTGGTCTTCAGTGGGTCTCTTGGCCCCACCCATCCCAGCTGTGGGGAGCAGCCTAGGTCATGGCACGTGTGGCCAGTCCTGTCACCCCCAAGCATGCGACAGGGTGGGACAGTGGCTGGAGCCTCTGCCTGGCTGCTGCTGCCAGTCCACCCCATACCCACTGCTGGGCTTCTGGATGGAGAGGACGGGCAGGCAGGGTCTCCATGGAGAACATTCTGGGACTCCCGTGGGCAGGATGTGCTTGGCCAGGCAGATGGGATGGGTCTGCGGGTGCATGAGGAGTGGGACAGGTGAGTGGGGTCAGGGAACATGGGGTGGTGACAGCACAGGGCCAGGGCCCAGGGCAAAGCCGTGATCTACTCCCTGCACGTTCTGCAAACGGGTGCCGGTTCCATGCTGCTGCCTGCTCAGGTCCTGGGAGACTCTATCCACCTACCCTCCCCTTTCAGTGGTCCCAGTGATGGATGCAGGGTGGACTGGCAGTAGTAGCTGAGAATAGAGTCTGGCTACTGTGCCACCCTCACCCCACCATGCGCCTGGAGGCAGCAATACTAACCTCATGTACCACAGCCTGGGCTTCCCCCTGTGCCTGGGCCATGCAGGGCACAGACCTGCCACAAACCAGATAAAATCCCTTGGTGGGCCAGATCTGGTCCATGGGCCATATTTTTCCCACCCCTGGTCTATCAAATGTCAACACTGGGCAAATGACTGATAGCTGTATACTTCTTAGTTCTGATCATGAGAGAGTACTACTGTAATAGCTGCTCGTCTCACCTGCCTGACAACAGCATGTAAAGAAAAACTGAACTCAAGAAGGAAGAGGAGACTTTTTCTTTTTTTTTTTCTTTTTTGATGGGCATGCTGCCATTGTATCATCTGCTGCTACGGATGCAGTTTGTCCTCAAATGGTCAAGGGAGGGAGTAGCCTAGCCATGTTTCTGGGCTACGCGGTGATTCTGCACACATAGGTACCAACAGTTGCCAAAAATGCTATCATCTGTCTGCATAGCATAAAGGCTGTGTTCCCTCCTGTTGGATGGTGACCTGGGTCACTGTGATACATGTCTGTCTGATTTATAGACTAGGTTGCTCCCACTGTCTACATGGGAACTTCAGCCTTTTTTTAAAGCAAGCCCCTACATGATGTAGATTGCAATAACCCATCTAATTTATAGCACCAGCCACCAAGGGCAGGTTACTCCTTTGTTCTACTCACTGCACTGATTCCCCATAGAAAGTTGGGGCCAATTCAACATACCAGTAGTTAATGCTCTATATGGCACTGCATCACACTATCTAAAATAGCACCTTTGTGTAGGAACCATGAGCTGACTGCTCAGAGCAGCCACACAATAGTCACCTTCACAACTCTGTTTCTTGTGCTTAAAAGGATGACTTGTCCCAGCAGCAGACTCTAGATCTTCTGGAATTGGGGAAAATGGGCACAGCCCCTGCTGTTTTGGGGGCTGTAGTTCCTCTGCACTCCAGCTTTGGCCTTTTTTGTGGCCACTGAGCTCACAGGAGAACCTTGTGCTTTTGTTTGTGTTTATGCGTGAATGGTTGGAAAACTCTAAAACTCTTGGTTCAGAGATGACTCCTTTTATTAGACCAACTAAAAAATTACAAAAAAATTATCTCTCTTTGCAAGATTTCAGGCCCACATGCCCTTCCTCAGGCTTAGGGAAAATTAAAGATAAAAATTAAAGAAGGGTGTGTGGGCCTGAAAGCTTGCAAAGAAAGATTTTTTCTTTTCAATTTCTTAGTTGGTCTGATAAAAGGAATCATCTCTGAACCAAGAGTTTTAGAGTTTTGCATTTCTTTTTGTCTCCGACCAACACTGCTACCAAATATATCCCTTATGCATGAATATGAACTCTTGCTCCCCTTTTCATGCTTTTTTCCATTAGCACATCAGGAGAAACCTACTCTGTTGTAGGACACTTTCTTCATTTCATTAGGCATCTGGGAGAGTGAGCTGGGAAGGTGTTCTGGGCGTGGCTCCGATGACACTGCTAAATCAGCCAAATCTTTCTTGCAGGAGAAGTATGTAGCAGCTTTCCATACTACTGCAGCCCTTGGCAGCTTGGGAAGGGGGATTTATTCCCATCATTGTTCCGTGGTCCATATGAGAGGAACCCCTGTTTATGACAATTTAATCAGGCATCGTGCAGGTTTTGCCTTAGGAAGCAGGACAGTGAATGCCACTCCTTGGAATTTTTTAGGTTTTGGATGTCGGCTGTTAAAATTCTGAGTTTCTCTTGCAGCTTTATGGGTGCAAAGTATTTCTGTGCCCCTCTCTTTGCAATGCGCAAGTAGCAGCCCCCAAGACTAGAGTTTTGTAACCTCCTGAAGCAGTTGCTATAGGGGTCCATGCTTTGAACATACAGAATTGATGAACTGCAAATGTTTGGCCAGAAGATGTCAGCATTGGGTAAAGAATCACTACTAGTTTAGTTGCATTGGTTTGTCTAAATAGCGCTCCTTAGGTGCTTCGAGCTCAGCCCAGTTTCCCTTGCTCTCTTCTCAGCAGAGTGAGTGAGAGCTGTAGGGACTGGAGAGGGACTGTGAGGACCCTATAACCATCAAGACCATTAAAATGTGTCCTCATATATCTAAGCTTGTTTTCTTCTCCAGTAGCCTTGTTGCTAAAACTCGCTCATGCTCTCATGATGATTTTTTTTTTTAGCTTTGATGCTGAGATTTCCCAATGAAGTGGGAATCTTTGCCAGTGTCAGTATTGTAAACTCAGACCCTTGATCCTCTTCCTTCTATATTTCCCAGTCTCTGCTCTAGCCTTTTATCCAGTCAGCCTACCTGATCGCTGATCTGAAACAACTGGAAACCTCACTTGGTGCCTTCCACCCTTTGGCTTCTGCATTTTGCTCTGTTTCTGCAGATGCTGAAAACGGTTGCCACTTCCTCCATGTCCTGGATTCTGTTCGGCAAAGCTACAGCCCTTATCTGACACAGGAGGTGATGCATCGTGTCCTGGAACTGTTGGAGAGCAACAGTGAAATTGTCAGCACTATGGAAAGGCGCTACACAGCTTTCTAAGGGAAGAAAACAAGATATAGACTGTCTGTTTGGGCTCTGGACAGAATTTGACCCCATAATCACTTTGCCAAGAAGCAGGAGTTGAGACGCAAGCATACAAGGAGAAGTGCATCTGGCCCCTGGGCCACATTTTGCCCACCCCTGCCCTATAAGGATAATCAAAGCAGACCAAAATAAATCACATATATAAAGAGAGAAGGCCAAGTAGGCAGTGTGCGTATTATGTCTGCAGCTTGATGTTACATTATAGACTTCATTCCAAGACATAGCTCAAGTAGGATATAAGTGAACCAACAAGCATGACGAAATATGTGGCATTTGCATTCAAACTTAGCCTTAAAGGCAGAGACGGTGCATCTGTCCTGAGTATAAAGCTATGTATGACTCACTCCTTCATCTGTTGCTTCCCTATCTACTGTGGGGTCTGACAACCAGTTTTCCAGCAGCTATTCCTAGTATTCTTTCCATTTGTCAGTCAGCATTATATACCCCTTCCCCAGAGCTCAATCGGCATGTGTCCAGACAGGTGCAAAAAGATGTGCTTGCTTAGGAAGAGATGCAAGAGGAAGGCTAATAAAGTCCTCTGGATAGTTTTGATACTTTCTCGTATAAGAATGTCTGACTCTCGGAAGCACAGTGTGACAGGTTGTGAGTCAATAAAGTAGGAGAAAAAATCAGGTTTAATTATAGTGCTCTAAAAAAGTTGCTCTGTTTTAAAAGCTGAGAGATGGTTAGGGATATTTAGTTCATAGCTTATAGTCCGTTTCAGCCCCATCTACTGTTAACAATTCAATTGCTGTTGTCCTAGGAGAAATGTGTTGGGCATGTGTGGGGGAGAGTTTTGGGGGAAAGTGGTTGGATTCCATCTACTCCTTCATGACAGGTGCATCACATGCTAATCACCAGCTATCTCTTCCTGAGAGGGGAGAGAGCTTGTCTGGATTTGCTTCAAGTTGAGCCTTGATTTTAAAATAAACTTGAACCTCGTGAAAGGAATTTATTATGCTAACTGTACCAATGCAGCTTGTGTTGGGCATAGGATGGGGAAGCTTTGTGTACTGCATTAGTTGTGCACTTGTGATCAACATCTGGGCCTTTGATTATCTCTTGCCTTGACTTCTGAAATGCCTGATCTCAGGGAGAGGTTGCCTGGAAGCCCAAGTGCCTATTTTTTGAGCTGTATCTTGTGTGAGCACAGGCACTGTCTTCAAGTCTTTATGATCCCCCATTCATTTCTTGTGCAATTTGGGTATTAGTAACAAACCCCTGAAGGTGGGCTGGAAGGGTCTCTTCAAAGAAAAGCAGGTAAGATTTGGAAGATCCAGTTACTAGAACCTGGTTTAGCAGCATGTATTGGTGCACTGTGTTTGTAAATCATTCCCTTGGTCAGTCTAATGGAAGCAAAAGGGTACGTCCTTAGAGCAAGTTACTTAACTCATGGAAAATCCTGCTGGGGTCATTCATAATTTTTATACGAGTTAGTGGGCTGACTTAGGGGTGTACTTGGTAGACGTGTTGGTCTGAGACAAGAAGACGTAAAAAACTAGAACTCTTGGTTCCAAAATGATACCTTTTATTAGACCAAATGGGAAATCATAAGAAAATTGTCCTTTTCTGCAAGCTTTCGGGATCAAAGTCCCTTTGTCAGGCTCTGGGAAAAGTATAGATGGTACAAGATGGTAAAAAGTCCCCATAGGTAGGAAATAAATTTCATTTTTGCACAGAGGGTGCTGAAGATGGAAGGCTGTCCCACTGGCTCCACTTTCATGGCTTTAAATGAGCTGGCTTGGGATACTGATAACAGTGGGTGCGTCGACACGTGTGCTTTAATGCACGTTAGCCTATTTTAATGTGCATTAAAGCATCACTAAAAAAGTGATATTTAATGAATGGTAATTAAAATAGCTAATGCTCATTAAACGTCACATAAAAACCATGGGTGCCTGTACACGGATGTGGAGGCTGCTCCAATGCACTGCAATTATAGTGCGTTGGAGCGGACTCGATTAATCGTGTCTGCTGGAGCGTGGTAATTACCATGCTCCAGCACCCTCCCACGTGAGCATCCCCATGCTTCAAAATGGCAACAAAGGTGGTTGAACTAAAGCTTGTTCAAGCACCTCCACCACCATTTTGAAGCGCAGAGATGCTGATACACAAGGTGCAATGGTGCTTTAATTAGAGTGGCTCTCAGCGCCGCTCTAATTAAAGCGTCACTCCCACCCACCGCCAGAGTACATGTATAAGTGCCCCGTGCTCTTTAGTTAATGCACATTAAGACAGGCTAGTATGCATTTTCTTTCTACCTCACCGTGGGGGTACCAGATTTGATGTGCATTATCTAAAGCATGTTAATGCACGTGTAGATGTGCCCAGTCTAGCCAGAGCATCATGGAACATGCTTAACATTGGTTAATTTACCTCCTGGTCTGAGTGTCTCTACACTGGGTTACAGTCGCATGTATTGTCCAGGTAAAAGTCACGTTATTACAGGTCTGACTTTGCCTACCTCAGGACTTTTATTGGTATAACTAGATTTAAAAAAAAAATCTGCTCCTCTAACAAAAATAACCATACAGGGAAACCTTAAGTTTGGAGCAGGCCTAATAACTGGAAGGAGTTTAACGAAAATGCTTTTTGTTACTTTTCTTTAATAAAAACCAGGTTAGGTTACATATAACTATTAATAACCCATTTAGGACCTTTGAATGAAGCAGTTTGAAGTAGAATTGACGAGCAGGAATTCCTGCTGGGGCAAAGCTAGATGGCCAGTTTGTTTCCATAGCAACAGTTATGTCAGGTAAGTGAAATGGATTTTTAAAACAGTCAGCATTTTTACCTTGTCTCGGAGTGGTCTGTTTCCATGGAAATTGGTGCCTGGGAACTAAAATTAAAAAGTGGGGAAGAGTCCTCTGCTGTTGACTCTATGGAAATTGAAGTTGACCACCTTTCTGGAGGGAAACAAAGGATGATGCTGTGTGCCCCTAAACCTCTAGTCCCTGGTCAGGCAGAAGGGCATTCCCTGGAACTAGAGTTAGGCTGTTCTTGCAGAGTAAGCCAGCAGGGAGCAAAAGGACTGGCACTCTGCTAGCTTGGCCTTGAGTTTAGGGTCAGTGGCTATTTAATCTGCCTATGAAAATAAGGGATAAAGCTTTCTATGAAGGAGACAGGATTTGAACAAAAATACAGGAAATTCCATTTTACAAAAGAAGGATATCAACCCCAAAGTTTTATTGTCAGATTCTGTCCACACTCAACCTGCCAAAAATGTCGAAAGGAAGGATGGTCTTGTAGCTAAACACAGGATGAGGGGCTAGGAAATCAGGGTTATCTTTTAGGCTTTGTTGCAGATAAAGCCTCAATTTTCCTTTCTATAAAATAAGGAAAAATAGGCCTTTTCCATTGCGGAGTGGTTGTAAGATCTGATTTTTATTGATGTTTTACACTAAAGCTTGAAATCCTTGGCTGGTAGTTGTGATAGAAAAAGGAAGTGTGATGTGTGTTAGGTGCTAGGGTACAAGAAACTCATAAAATCATAGAAAGTGAGGGTCGGAAGTGTCCTCAAGAGGTCACATCTAGTCCAACCCCCTGCTCAAAACAGGACCAGTCCCAACTGCATCATTCCAGGCAAGGCTTTGTCTACCTGGGTTTTAAAAACCTCCAAGGATGGAGATGCCACACCCTTTCTGGATAACCTGTTCCAGTGCTTTACTACCCTCCTGGTGAGAGAGATTTTCCTAATATCCAACCTCAACTTCCCTTGCTGAAGCCTGAGCCCATTGCTCCTTGTCCTGTATCTGCCCCCACTGAGAACAGCCCAGCTCCATCCTCTTTGCAGCGCCCCTGCAGGGAGGTGAAGGCTGCTATCAAATCCCCCCTCGCTCTTCTCTTCTCCAGACTAAATCAGCCTAGTTTCCTCAGCCTCTCCTCAGAAGTTGTGCACCAAACCATTTTTGTTGTTCTCTGCTGGACACTCTCCAGTTTGTCTACACCCTTTCTGCAGTGGGGGGCCCAAAACTGGACACTGAATTCCAGATGTGGCCTCATCAGTGCCGAATAAATAATCAGCTCCCTTCATCTGCTAACCACACTCCTACCAAGGCAGCCCAATATGCTGGTATCCTTCTTGGCAACAAGGGCACACTGCTGGCTCCTTTTCAGCTTCTTGTCCACTGTCAGTCCCAGGTCCTTTTCTGCAGAGCTGCTGCCCAGGGAGTTTCATCTAGACTCCAAGACATTGCACTTATCCTTATTGAATCTCATGAGATTTCTTTTGGTCCAGTCCTCCAATTTGTGGAGATCTCTTTGAATCCTAGCTTTACCCTCCAACCTATCTGCTACTCTCCCCAGCTTGATGTCATCTGCAGACTTGCTGAGGGTTCCCTCCATCCCATCATTCAGGTCACTGATGAAGATATTGAAGAAAACCAGCCCCAGGGCTGACCCCTGGGAAAATTATTCTTAATTGGGTAGGAGAGAGAAATATGGTGGAAATAATACTGGCAACCTACCTGTTAACAATCAAAGAGAAACTTATCCTGTGGCATCAGGAAATATCCTGTTTCCCCTTGTCAGGACCCCTGGGGTTTGAACCCAGACATTTGGCACTTACAGGCAGAAGCCCAGGCCACAGCGCCACCAGGCCAAAGGCCAGTCCCAGCTCAGCCTGGGCCCTCCCACGGTGTCTCCAGTGGGGGGCCAGATGGCTTGGGCAGACCAATGGGACAGAGCCCCTGATCGAAAGGCTGTAAAACCTTCCCACTTCCTGCAGGTGCTGCTGCTTGTGGCCTTTCTGCTCCAACTCTGGTTACATCTCCTTGCTGCCTTGGATTTCCCAAGCTGGGTTTACTGCTTGTTCTGATCATGACCCTGTCTTGACCCTTTGCTGAAAAGTCTGGAGCTTGGACTCATGCTTGGCTTTGACCCTGGCTTCTCTAGTAAACCCCTAACTTAGCATGAACCACAAAGACTGCCTTCCTGTGCCCTAGTCGGCCCTTACCTCCCACTCCAGTGCTGTCATCTTCTGTATTTAAACTACACGCTGTTCACATCTGGTTGACGTTTGTTTCCTGCCTGGAGAAGTGACGCTCCCCGGTATCTCTCTGCCAGCTTCCAGTCCCAGCAAGGCTAACTCCATGCTCCTTATCCTGATCTACTCCAGCCACACTATTGTGGTGGCTCCTCAGCCCTTCTGCATTTAAATCTCAGAGCTTGCTCCTCGTGTGTGCCTGAGTGTCAGGGGTCACAGAGTAGTGGAGAGTCAGGCACCCTGCTCTAAAGTCTTGTACCTAGCACCGGCCTGGCCTGCAGCAGCACCGTAATGCCATGCTCAGAACCTGGTACGGCAGACCTGGAGCCTGCTCATCAGAGACACTTTAGTAACAGCACTCTAGCAAGTCTGGGCATATGCAACCACACCTTCTCCCTCACCATCAAATACTTATAACTTGGGCAGGCTTTTGTGAGGATAACAAAGGCCACCCTCTCCACCACAGCCCCAACCCAATTTCAGTTCCATATCCCAAAGTCTGGAGACACGAGTGTCCTGAAGGGCATTAGTATTTAACATGGAAAAAAATATTTCCTTCCTCCACTGTCCCCCAGGTTTTATTTTAGAAATGGCTGACCTGTTTTGTTGGAAACCTTCTAAGAGAAGTCAGCCTCAGGAAGGTGTGCACCGTAGGAGATTCCTGTCAAAATGGTTAAAATCTGACAAAATTGTAAACCTCAGATGGAGCCTTAAAATGGGAGGCAGCTTAATGGGCAGTGGTACAGTCCTGCATATAACTAGTGTGTAGCGTGGACTGTACTGGCCTAATAACTGTAGCGTACAGGTTGAGACGAGCCCAGGCTAACATGCTCATATTGACTAGCAAAATAAAGATACAGCCAAGAGCAAAGGAATTTGCTAGCAGAAAAAATAACCCCAAGGAATAACTCTCTGCAAACATAGAAGCACTAAACAGCATGATGCCAATTAAGTTGGCA